CCTGAGTTGTATATCCTTAAATTTTAAGTCGCTCGGGGGTTTATAAAAATTTTATTTTTTTTCGATTTAATCAGTTCCACCAAATATGCGTGTCGGTGGTCCAATATGTATTTTTTTTTTTTAATAATAATTTCGAGTGCTTTCATATGTACATAGTACATAGGCATGTATGCATGAAAATATATCAATATATATTTTATATATATCACAGAAAAAAAATTTTCAATATTTCTTTAAGCTTATTTTCTAACCGAAGTTCATAAAACTTCTTGATCGAAACAATACAATATAAAAATTCTGAAATGTGATGCAAAAATAATATTTGTTTGCGAAATATTTTAAAACTTACGTTTCTTACCCTCATGTGATATATTCCATATGCAAGGTAGTTTCTTGCATTTTCCTGTATAAATTCGCTTGTTTTACTTTCAATGCATGTTTGTATATGTTAATTTATGTGAGGACATATGTATATATGCAAATAGATACAAATATTTGCACGATTTTGATGAAACTATCAGGGATATTCTGCAATTCACTTCCGAGTGAATTCCAGTAAAACTCGCTTTGAATCTGGAGTTCGGGGTTTGTGTTTGACTTTCCGAATTTTACAGGAAGGTTCTGCATTCCAAAAGAAAGTGGAAATAAAACTCGTAAAGTGAAACACAGAATCCAAAATGTTGGATTCAAGGTGAGTTATGTTCAAATTCACTCGGAAGTGAATTGCAGAACCTGCCTGATGGTGAAACCCGTGCCAATATGTTTACATACACGATCAGACATGTGGGATTATCTTTTTGTGTATAGATTTGACTATGTATTTTATTATTTTTGGATTTTAATGACTCCTTACGAAGCCTATTTGACGATTTTTTATATAAAAAATAACCCACTTGTAGTTAGCTTTTTTGCGGGATTTCTATAAAACATATACATAACTTTTAGTTAGCTACAAAAAGCTAACTTGAAACTAGTTCACAAGTAATGCAGGAGTAATGAAGGAAATTGTTTTCTTTAAACACGTTTCTATTTAAAAACCCTGCACCTTGCAAATACTTTTTCCAATTGAGGACAAATAAAAGGAAGATCGAAATTTCATATTATCATTTATGTCTGACGCAGTTCGAATATGGGACCACCTACAGCAGCATATGGAAACAAATATGAAATGTAATAAAATAAATAAAGTAAATAAATTAAATAAATTAAAAATATAAAAAAATAACATTTTGTTTTTCCTATTGATATTTTATGTCCAAAAGTAGTAAGTTACAAATTACATCAAATGCAGAGGTAAACCACCCTTGACTATTTCACGGTAATCGCCATGGAAATGTAGTTAGCTTTCGTCAAAGAGAATATACAGATAATAGGTGACTTTTAGCTCCTTCCTAATCAACATAAAGTTAGCTTATAGTTAGATACATTTCCAGCAGGGCATCTTCAAAAAAACAACGTAGGTTTTTTTTGAGGAGGGAATGAAGGTTAGAAACCAACCTTGCTATTGAAGATTTAAAGGAAATACAATTTTTTCAACTCTAGCACATCAAAGCTTTTGAATTTAAATTCACAATTGGTATTCAACTACGTTGAGATTTGAAGGCTTTATGCGTACTGCTACAAATGTACAAAATAGCGTGTACCCTACCCACCAGCTACAATTTATTACACCGCTTCCGGTTCACCCGTTTAATACACTGCTTTGTTGATAAGTGAAACGATTGAACAAATTGCATCAGAAACCCGTTGCTTGTGCTTTTGTCAGCTTCGTAATTGTTTGAATGTGCTTTAGGGTGGTGCATAAATGCATGCGAAAAAGTAAAGTCGCAATTTTTATGCTCTCACCGAAAAAATATACCCTTATTTTTTTATTTGGAAATCAAAAATTATTTAGAGTTCACCCAAAGCTGAGCGCTTTGAGCGATCCCTAGATATATTTTGATTTCAAAATAAAAAATAGGGTTATATTTTTTTCGATATATGTAGAACAATGCTAGAGGGTGAGAGCATTAAAATTCCGACTTTACTTGTTTTGGACCGCCCTAATGTTCTTACTATACAACATGTTTCCCCTATCGCTAAAAACTGCCCTGTGAAACATATCTGCAGTGGTCGATTAGTAGTGAGTAGTTTTGTAGTTTCCTGTGATGCAGATCTTTGTCTTGATTTCTATCGCTATCATTTTATTTCTCTTGGTCTATATTCTTGTTATTGCCTTTTCCCGCCACGAATGACTTTAAACGCATTTTTTTGAACATTCTCTAAACTACCTTTGCATGATAAGCTGGGGTGTTTTCACCGATTTTAAACGTCACTTACAACGTACTATTTATTTCAATCAGATTTTGAACAAATTGTATGATATTAATCTAAAAGAAATGTAGATATAATACTACAAGTTTATTTTGATTTACTCGAAAAAAAAAACTTCGGATCAAGTAAACTTTTAAGCTGGGATATGCATACATACATACATACTTTCAATGCCATATTTGTGTCTGAAATCGGCTGGTAACAATCAAACGCTTGTAAGCTGCCAAATGGAGTGAAATAAAAGCACAGCAAGCATCAACACATTTACAACAATATTTATGTACATACATACGTATAAATGGAGTTATGCGAAATGTAAAATGTGAAAAGGAAATTGCATATTCGCCTTGACAGGATATCATAAATCCGTTGATAACTATATGTGTGTATATAATAGCTTAGTGTTGGCTGTGTAGGTATGTTTGTGTGTGCGCCTTTCAGAGTGTTTACAGTTATAAGTGCTTTCGATAGATGTCAAGCGCTTGCAATATGTACATATGTATACTTGTGCACCTACATACATATATCCATGTATGTCTCCGCATGCGCCCTGCAGAAAAAAATTATCAATTGACAAAAAAATAACCCACTTTTTGCGGGATTTTGTTAAAAATATTAATTTTCAGTTAGCTATATAAAGCCAACGGGAAACTGGTTGAAAAGTAATGCAGAAATCATGCGGGCGTAATCGGGAGTTTTTTTCTTTAACCAAGCTTCTACTTAAATAACCTGAATGTACTTCTTTTCTGCACTTCCCAGATGCTTTTTCATATTTAGGACAAATAAAATTAAGATAGAGATTTTACATTATCTATCATTTTAAAAATATAAGTGACGGAATTCCAATATGGGAACAACTGCAGCAAAATTTTTAAACAAATATGTAATGTTAAATAAAATAAATAAGAAAGTAAAAAATTTAAAAAAAAAATTTGTTTTTCTAACTGATATTTTATGCCCGAAAGGAGTTAGATACAAATTACTTGACACCTAATGACGATTTCGCGGCTATTGCCATTACAAATAATAGTGGTCTTTAGTTCCTTCCTAATCAACTTCAAGTTAACTTATAGTTAGATACAATTCCTGCAGGGTATAAACGTATGTAAATATGTAGTAATCCTGCGTGTACATAAAGGTTGAAATAAACATGAAATGCTATCAAATTGACACGTTTCTACATTGGAAAAGATTTTTTATAGAAATTTTTGCTAAAAAACCCGGTGAATTTTTTCAGTGTCGAGAGCTTACCATCAGCACTAAGTTTAGGCTCCCGGACTTCTGCTGTGTATTCCATGCGAAAGTGGTGATGTCAAGGATACAGTGGATTCACTACTTCGGAGTGCTATAACAGTCAGGGAAGTGAGCATACATATATTCTAATAGCCAAGGCGCTATCAGGGCCTTGAATACGTAGGAGGTGCGCATTAGCTAGGTTAAGGAATGTCTGCTCTCTCTTTCGGTCGCGTTGGAATACTTCTGTATTAGGCTTATTTGGGTTCCAGGTCCCAACGACATTTAGGGGAGTTATGTGGCTTACGCGCATTGGCCAAGGAAAGCACTCATGAAACGTTATCACCGGATAAAGGGCGACTGGGATGCTATTGATCACTTGTGGATAAATGCGCCTCATGTCAGCTCAGTGAGCGCTGGACAAAAACCAGGACATGCGCGATCGCAAGTTCCTTCTTGCCAGCTCTCACTTTTGGTGGGGTTTTAACGAGTCACTGTCCAAGCGGTATTCACGCAGTAAGGCTGAACATACTACCAAACCCCGTATATCGCAGTTGCCTGGAAGATGACGAGGTAGAGTCACCTCAACACTATCTTCTTAAGTGCCCAGCGTTGGCGAGGCTAAGGTTGAAGTACTTTATCTCAGGTCCTAAATCTCCCCCAGGAACTCTGGGGTGCTGAGTTTAGCCGAATTCGTAAACACATAATCGGCTCGGGTGTTTTATCAATAAAGTATAGGGTGCCGTTCAAAATGTGGTATCACAAAGGACAATCTCTTATTGTCTAAGTGAGCCCCGGTTACACGGAACTGCCACCTAAGCTAAACTAACCTAAGGAATTTACATTGATAACTGAAATATATATAAAAGTATTGGTGTCAGACGAAATATGCTTAAAGGCTGAAACTTGGAACTATTTCTAAGATGGTTGCCACCTGCATAAAAAAAGTTTAATTATTTAAAGAAATTAAACTAATAATTACATTTCGGTATCAATCGGAATGGTCTTGGAAGGGCTTCACTTCCAAACTATTTGTAGAGGAGTTTTCATCTATCTAATAAGTCAAGTTCAAGTTAAGAAGTTACCTTCATCTTATAATTTTCTAATAAAAGGCTTCTCAGGTGCTCAAATTAAGAATAGTGAAAGGATATATAATAATTATTTATACTATATTGTAATATAAAACAGTTATTAAGTGACCCAAAACTCCGCTTAAAAAATATTAAAAATTTGTATGGCATGAAGTACAGTGCAGCAGTACAATAGCAATGTCTTTCAGGCGCAAAATAATTTGTCGACACGCATTGACTTTTTTGCAAAAACTTACGTACGTACCTACTATATATCGTCGTTTAAAGTACAAAACCGCGTATCAAGAAAATGTAAAACCTCGTATGTGAGGTGGCCAAAATTTTATAGGAGAGTGTAAAACTGGTCTTATTTCAAAACGGTGAATGGATAACAGCTTGATACCGGGAGCTCCCGATGAGCAAATATCTCTTTTGGCACAAATGTCAGTTACGAGGTTTTGCAAACATCGACAAGACAATCGAGCAATCAATGCCACGCTGCTGCCGTATCAGCAATTGAAATGCTATAAGCTTTTACTTCACGGCATTTATCAGTGCCAGTTGCATCATCACATAGTATTCAGAGGTACGTTACAAAAATATGTATACTCAAGTGAGAATCCGGTGAACACTCCTTCCAATATGCAGCCAGCTACGGGCATTACATACTTATGCACTGGAGTCATCAACGCCAGGACTCGATGTGCCTACTGCTTTCGTCAGATTTCAAGGCAGTCAGCATTCGGTTTGTCTGCTTGCGTCGACTTGCCTCGACGTGGCTTGCCTGTCTGTGGCTTCTTATGGCCTGTTTTTGACACATTCTCGTTAATGTTGACGTTAACGTTGAAGTTGATATCGATGTTTATTTTGATGGCGATGACGAACGCACAAACATACTGCCAATGCATGAGTATGGTAAATAAAATTTCTTTTACATAACTCCTCATAGTTGATGGTTTATGGCAGCTGGTGTAGGAGCCATTGCTCAGCCACACGTAGTTACAATATTTGCACATACATATGCTTATGTGTGTGAGCATCCTTTCAAAAGTGTGATTGTGTATGTGTGTTACAATATCCTTTTGAGGTTAGTGCTCTTATCAAGATTATCAACACAAATACAAATGTACGTATATATATATATGAAAATAAATCACTAAGCATAAAGCAAAAGCAAAATCAGTTAGCAAGTATTGGCAATGCTTGGAGAAAAAGTTACTTGAAACAAAAAGATTTATACTTATCATGAGAAAAAAAGTAAAATCGAATTAAAGGACACTCTCGTAACAAAATATGTAAAAAAAAAAATTACACACACCAGTTGGATAAGTGCTGACAACACTGATAGTAAATCCAAATGCGGAAAGCCTATTCGGCAAACTGCTAGTCGTAAGACTTAAATGCCTAGCTGTAAAATATATGTACGTACATAAATGAGGAATAGCTTTTTGATAAACTTAATCCGACAATGATAATGCGCTACAACTACATACTACTTTCAGCAATAGATACAAACTAACAGAGGCGCCGCCGCTCACATTTGGACTGAAATGCCCTTGAAGGTTATTTGAATTCACTTTGAATGAGTTTTTAATTTTCACTATGATGTTAGCATACTTGCTATTTTTCTTAAATATAGAACTTTATGAAAGCTGTTTCAGTAAAATTGTACATAAATGACTCCCTTGTTCTATGTATATGTAGGTACAATTGAATAAGAATTATCTAAATATAAAACTCAGATGATTTTTGAGTGCTATCGATCATAAAGAATTTCACAATGGTTTATTATAATAAGCAGTCAGCATTTTACTTCTCCGTTTAGTCTGCTTTAGAGCAAAATATTGACATATAACTCATCCCATAACGGCGAAGCATAGGCACAAATTATATACCGACGTCTTATTAGTCTCAAAATCGGGCGGAAAAGGTGTATTTATACCATAAAAGGTGGCAGCTCAATAATCTAACAAATCACCTATTACGGAATTAAAGAAACGGGACCTTAAATCGATTACAATATCCTATTGGATTTTAGTATTTCTTGACCAAAAAAATAGTGCTGGAAATGTTTTCGAGTCTTTAAAAATCTCCTGGCCGGAATATGGTCTACGCAAATGGTGTAGTAACTTATATGTAGCTAGCCACTTTTATTCTGTTAGGCATTGAATATCCCCCAAGTTCACTTCAAACGACGTGCCGGGTATAATAGAAAAACTATTTCACTTTAAAAAATATGCACCAGCAGCATTTTGGTATAAAAAGATCATTGAGATCAACACCATCACAGATAGTTTGAGGATAGTGATGTTAATCAATCTGCAGATGGATACCATTTATATATGTTAGATATTTAATAAAATCATCCAGGCAACAAATCGCACTATGTCTGTTCCAGCGGAGCTAAGTGGCGGCAGAATGCTGGAAACGAGGACTAAAAGAAGAGCCGTTCCTTTAAGATAATGAAATATTCGCACAATTTAACCTAAACTCCGCTGGCAAATAAGAACAAAAAGAGAGAAAGTAATGACAGTTGGCTGCGAGTAGTTAATAGCGACATCTCTCGGTGAGATTTTTAGCATGTAGCTAACCTGCAGGCCTAAAATAATCTATAGCTTATTATGGGAATAGCCTACTAAATACACTGGAAAGAGAACCATCAGCAGAAGCTTCCTAGTGGGATAAGTAGTAATGCATTCCATGCGTGATAAATAATCGAATATATTTGAGTAGTTCACTTGCAAACAGCGTTATGTGATTTTATAATAGAAAGCCATAAACTTGAAAAAACGACTACGACAACAAGTAACATTGAAATTGAATCTTTTTTATTATTACCTCAAAATTTGGATAAATAAGAGCCTTATAAAATTATAACATACCATACATACCATGACATAAGATAATATTAACAGTCTATACGACCTAAAGCAGTTTTCTAGGTTCATCAGAAGATGGATACTTTTGAAAGTTTATAAATAAGTATGATAGCGACTTTTGGAAGAAGAGTTAACATTTTATGCTATTTTTTCAGAATATAAAAAGATTCTGCACTGTGTTGTTAGTGGACATGAAACTACTTTAAATACTGGTACGTAATCCACCATAAACTAAAAATCGAAAAAATTTTACATAGCGCACTTTGCAAGTGGACTACTCATTTCTTATGAGTTTTAAATCCGATTACTGTTTAATATGTAATCAGCATTCTAATGCATTCAAAAGGTCCCAAAAATTCATTCTCGATACTAGGTAATGCAAAATTGAATGCCCAAATTTTCTTAGGACATCGGCCTGGGAAAAAAGTGCATTTTCGAATGTGAAAAGGGTTGTTTTACTGGTTGTGGCTTCGATTACTATACATTACATTTTCCCACTGGGTTAGAATAAAAAATTTAGCTTGCAGCGTGGATATATACGTGGCCAAAATAAATAATGTGAGTAAGCAATGAAGCATTTAAAAATCAGAACTAAAATCTTGCGTGACAGAAGCGCTAGATGCAAAGAAAAATAACCCTCTAGGAACAATCTAAACAAAAATCAATCTACGTTCCATTAGACCGGTTAGCAACTAATGGCTAGATATACAGACTTTCAAAATATCCAGCAAATTGTGGCCTTACTATAACATAGCGAGGATATTGGATTATAACATATACACTATAACAAAAGCAGCAGTATTCAGAATTGTAACAATTATATTATTCTAGGCAAACGTTCGGCAGCAATAGTACTTCCATAAAATGGAAATTGTCGCAGCTTTCCGCTATAAGATTTCGAAGAAAGTATGTAGCACTTCTTGTGTGAATTCTGAGGCCTTATGAATATTAGGTGCAAAGTGAATTAAGTGACTAGAGGATTGTCCAATGTCATTTAGCCATCACTAAACGCACGTCAAGCATAGTCTGTTCATCTATTTTGATCGACTCTAACTGTAAATGCTGGTCCCGGGACACACATGGCGTATGAGTAACATTGTTTCCTGTTCATATTTCATACAAAAAATTCCTTACGCATTTTCATTTCATCACTCTTTCCTATTTTATTTGTACATAGCTTTTCGCCATTAGTAGCTTTCTTTCCTTTGTAACTGAACAGGCTTGAACATAAAAGAAAAAATTTACACAGTATTCTGTTATTTTTTTAATTTTAAAGTTTGAGTTTTTCTCTTTCTTAAAAAAAATCTGAAATCATTACATAAATAATTTCTCCGAAACTAGCAAGCCTTTCGAAATGTAATGCATATGAGGGATATGGAGAAATTTGCTAGCTTTCATTTTCCATATTTCGTAAAAATCGTTCATCACTTTTATTTGGTTTACAACTAATTATTTGTTTGTTTGTTTGTGCTTAATTATTTATTAATAATTAAATATGTATGTATGTATCTTTATGTTTACGAGATATCGCCACTAGACACGAATAAAGGCGCGAGTTCAAGAGTTGACCGCGAAGAAATACGCATAAAAAAACTTCAGCGAAGAAAACGCGTTAATCTATTTCATGGCGAAGAAGGACTTATTTGTTACTTACTTAGAGAGTAAGAAATTAAATAATTAAAATTTAAATAGTAACATGTTGGCACTTGTATTACTATACGATTTATAATATTTCAATACTACTACATTCGTTTTTCTACTACATATTATACAATTTGTTGGAGATATCTATAATAGTGTAATTAAAATCACCTGATGTGTGAAAATTATTGCATTTTATTTCACCAGACCCAAGCTATACAATCTTTTCCTAACATATTCTGCTACCACGCGAGCAGAGCAGCGGGTTCAGGCTAGTTTTTAATGAATTTTTATTGTTTTTTTTTTTGTCCATACGCTTTGCCTCAAACATTTGAATCAATCATTGGTCTATTCACACTTTCTGTCACAGCATCGCTTAGTTTAGATATGTACATCAACTGACTTTCATTTAGCTGATAGTGGATGCTGTGATGCTTTCAATTTAAACTTCCTCGCAAATGTCAACTGAAATTTACAGTTCAACAGATTTTAATCTCCTGCAACTAACTGTGCAGAATTTATCCCCAAACAATTCTATCAAAAATTAATCTAGACACTTGGAAAAATTTAAAAGCATTTTGTTCTAAACAACAAAAAAAAAGACTATGATATTACTATTTTATTTTTCGTAAATACTAAAGTTTCAAGGAAGAAAACACTATTGACATACTATTTCGACACCTGAGTGGAAGATCGACCTATCTCGGTAGCCAGTTCGAAAACGCCCTATATCAGAAAAATTTTAAAGAACGCCATACTTCAGAATTTGATTGAAGAACGCCCTATCTCGGAACTCGGCTCAAAAATGCCCTACCTAAGCTGAAAATGTATTGAAAATGTGCTGATACAGGGCGATTTTTAATCAGCAGCTGAGATAGGGCGTTTTTGAACTGAATTCTGAAATAGGGCGTTCTTCAATCAGATTCTGAGATAGGGCGTTCTCGACCTGGCTGCCGTGATAAGTCGATATTCCACTCAGGTATCGATTTGTTATTCATTCCTGACAGCAGAACGAATGCCTGCAAGCGGGAGCCAGGAGACAAAATGCTCATAAATGCAGAATTGAGCCATTTATTTTGAAAGTGGCATTACTCGTTTGGTGCTTTATGACTTCTGTGATCTTTACCTGAACGCGTCTGTTATTCGCTCAGCTTCACAAGCCAAAAGCAAAGTGTTGCGTCTTTAGTTTATGACGACAGAACGATTCACAGCTGCATTCAGTTAGAAGTAACCAACCGTTCAAGTGCAAGAAGCGGAAGTGACTTATGCCACATTCAAAATAAACGGCTCATATATAAATATGTATATGCTGATAAATATGTTTCTCGATATGTGTGTATGTATAAATGTAAAAGTATTGTCAAAAAACAATACCGCCAGGCATGGAAATACCAAACATCACTCGGCACGGCTTAAACTTAACGATTTATTTTTTTTGTTTGTGAGACTTGCAAAGCCAATAGCAAAAAAGCAGAGAAATAAAAAATAAAAAAAATTATTGAAAAACCGTTAGTAGCGGGAGAGAAATTTGGAGTTTTATCAAACTTTTATTTCGTTTTTTTTCAACATACTCGCGGCCTCCTACTGATATAGGGTTATGCGGGCAAATGCTAAGCGGTAACGGACTTTGCGAACAAACTCTTTACACAAGCAGCTGACCTATGCTCGCTAAAAAAAAAATGGCTTAAAATCACGAACCGGAATGGTGTGACATTTTAGTTTTAATTGATTTATGTGTTTCGTTTTAAAACTGATGCTGCAATGTCATGGAGCTTGCTGAATGCGGCGGGCGGCCTAGCGTTCAAATGGGCGGAAAAAAAGTTTAATAGAAAAAAGCGAAAAGAATTTATATGGAGACTAGAAAAAGAATTGAGAACATATAGCCGGAACAGCTATGTGTTTGCCGGGCCTTAAGTGGGCTCTACCAAACTCGACACATCACCAGTATGGGTTTAAAGCTAAAATGACGGCTGGTCGATAGTAATTTTGCTCGCTCTCAATACGATGGGTGAAAAAGTGAATTTGAATTTTGGTTGTGTCGTTCAAATAAAATGCGAAATTGCTCTTGACGCGAAAGTTAACTTTCGGATTAATTTCGTTGGATTTTTCACAGCGTTAGCCTGAATAATTGCAGTTGAACGATAGCAGTGTGATATTTGAAGTAACGAGTGAATATCGCAGAAGAAAATAAGCAAAACAAAAACGAAATCGAGTGATGTTTGAGTTTAAGTGCTCAAATATTGTCACTCAAAGTCACACCTCTTGTTAGTACAGATAGAAATAGTATGGCTAAGGCCAATATATGCAGAAGTCGATAAGAGATCATATAATTGATAACAACTGATAGGCTGGCAAATTTCTTTGGTTAGACCCGAGCAATCTTTTGTAGATTAACCAAACTGGTCTCATGGCTTTCTATGTAATTAATGATTTTTTTCCTGCTAATCGTGTACGCAGTTTATGTACCCAAGACCGTAACAGTTACAACTTTTATTAAAACAAATCGCTTTTTAACAGTTATATTTTTACTTCTGTTTACTTACTCCTTAAATAACAGTTATTTCTGATTTTTATTTTATAAATCCGAAATAATAAATATTTTTTACTTGTTATTTAGATACATCTGCATTTTTGATTTTTAAATTAAATGTCTTAGATAACAGCTATTGAAGACTTTTATTTAAAAAAGTGATAAATAAAAATCAGTCAGTAACTTTTACTATTAAAAGTCATCAATATAAATCAGTCACTGACTTTTATTTTCTAAATCACATATATAAATGTCATTTGTAGTAAACTTTTGAACTCAAACACTTTCTTAACGATAAAAGTCTTCGATAACTTTTATCTAAAATAACCTTTATTTTTTTCATAAAAATTACAATTAAAAATTAATTTTCAAATTTTTATTCTCATTGAAAAAAGAAATTGATTCGTATGTATCACTTAGTTATGAACATTGCCTTCATACTGAATTTTTCAATGACATTTTTCATCAATAACTGTTATGTTCGGTCCCTGATATGTACTACATAAAAATATCGGATTAAATACATATGTATCTCTACCTAAATGTGAAATTGTGCCAAGTCAACTTGTTTTTCAAAATTTAGCTTTTAATGCAGAATGAAAGATAATGCGAAACTACATGAATTTTTCCCCTCTCCTGAATAGTTTCAAAAAATTGTGTTGGCAGCTTATCACGTTTAGGTAACGATATAAGTATTTATGTATTTTCAATCTCAACTAACTTCCAATTCCTACATACAAATATGTAAGTAAATAATTAAATTTTCTTTTCTCTTCCAGACTACGCCCAAGCTGCTCTCAGCAATGTAAATTTATTCATTGAACCTCCAGCAGTACGACGTGGACAATCGGTCATTTTACGTTGTCACTATGCGCTCGAGGGAGCTCCGCTTTATTCAATAAAATACTATCGTGGCAATTACGAATTCTACCGTTATACACCGGGTGAATTTCCGAATGTGAAATACTTCCAATACCCAGGCATTAAAGTCGATGTGAGTATTGAGTGCAAAGAAAATAATATTATATACAGGCAGAAAGAACTTAAGTAATGCAGTAACACAACTCCCTCGAAATAAAATGCAATGTTTAAAGCAATTGAAGTCACGCACGCCTATCTACACTATATCTACAAATAAATAAAACTCGTACATTAATTCTTTTTTTTTTTTTTTGAGAAATTATCTCCAAGAAACTTATCTTTTTTTGTTCTTTTAATTAATTCTAGTTGAGGGCGAAGATTTAGATTTTTCACAAGCTTAAGCCGGAAAGACAGCAGTAAAAGTATTTATGAAGATAACTTTACTATCTCCGTTCTGTAGTCCATCTTAAGTTTGACAAAGGATATTTTAAGCTACAGTTTACGGTATGAAAGCGAAACAGACCTAGTCAGAACACACACAATTACTTGGTATATCTGTCCTGTAATTTAGAGTATGTCTGCAGGGTGGTCTATGTAGTGGTTTGTTTTAAAAATTCAAAAACTTAACAAAAGCATTTTAGTTTTTCGAAGGGATAAACATTTCTATTATTTAAGGGCCTGAATCGTTAATGGATAGTTCTCATAACATCGTTTATTCATAGCATCCCACAAAAAAAGCGAACGGCGTCAAATCGCAACTCCGAGGTAGCCAATTAACATCGCCGAGCCAGCTGATAGCGCGATTACTGAACTTAGCGATTCATTTTGTTCCGCAAAGATACGACACTGACTTTATTTTCAGTAGAAAAGTGATGTCACTCTCAAAATTACATATGATTAAAACAAGGTCAACAATGTGTTTAAGGAAGTCAACGTAAATGCTTAGCGTTTAGTGGGGGCTTGACTGTTCCAGAAGATGATTGTTGGCTAAGATTTGCACAGAACGTCTTCCTTAATTTATATAAACTGAGGTTTAAATCGACTAGATACAGTTTGCTTAGCTGACTAGAGATACATATGTCAAAGAGTGAACCACAACTGGTCAGAGGCGCTCACCTCCATAACCTGATACCGGTTAAATCTAAGTAGAAATTCGGAGGGAGACCACGTACTCCATAACCACATTTTCGTGCCCCATTGCCGCTTGGCACTCAGATAAGATTCGTACCTCCTACAAATATGGGCGTCACATCCTTTCACTGTATATACACTGATTTTTGTGTGGTAGCCGCTTCTATCGGAATAAAATTTACATTGGCGATTAGTTGATGCCAGAAGACCCTACTACCAACCTTCTGGTTCAACTTCGACTTATTTACGAAAAAAGTCTCTTCCTCCAGGCAGCAGGGATGAAATCAAGCCTCCTATTCAAACGTCGAACTTACCAGGCATCTGGTTGCCCTGAGCCTTACTGCAGCCCTAATTTTATGTGTAACGTTAAAATGTGGGTATTGTGTTCAGTATGTCGTTGCGTGCCAAAGTGGAAGTGGTCCGCAATGCTCCACATATACCAATGCAATTCAGCCTATTCTACGCACTCTAGCTGCGCTTAAGTAGTCAATCCCTCTCTAGCGAACCACCACTATAGAACTCTTTTAAATTTAATAGGCTTAAATTTGCTATCGTAGTGTCGGGAAACTATCGTAGATCAGAGATTTCGCCTTTTACCAATGGCTTTCCTGTATAAATTTAAGGCAACTTATGTATTCTCTACTTGTTTTCAATGCCGTGATTCCCCGACACCTTTCTGCCGAGGCTTAGGTCCAAGCACTTGATCCTGACATAAACATGCAAGCGAAAATCTGCAATCGAGGCAAGATTTAAAGTATTGTGTTTCCTAGCGAATAAAACCGGTTATGTTGCTAGGATTGAAGGCGAGGTCCCGTAGTAATCTCGAATCAGATTGTACCGGGTCAAGTAATCCACAACCATTTGCAACATGTCGTCTGGCTAGGTAATCGCCTGACTCTTATAGTGAGTCGTTTGAGACCACTATACAAATCAGAAGTGAAAGCTCTTTGCATGTATGATTTTTATTTTTTCAACCTGAATAGTTGTCAAACTTTATGGAGTAAGCTGTAATAATTTGAGAATGGAATCACAAGAACTGTAGAAGTTACGAGTCTTTTCATACCTGCGTACATAAACTTTAGTATAAACTTAAAATAAAAAATAGTTGTCTTGTTTTTTTCGATAAAGAATGTAAAAAAAATATATTTCACCCAAAAAAAAAAGTATTGAGGTGTAAATATTGTATGGAATGACGCATATATACATATATTAAAATTTATTTAATTATCACTTCGAAAAGAAAGCATTGCATTAAAACACAAACACAAACGGAGGAGAATCGCACTTTATAAATATTCCTTAACATTATCTTATTTTTCCCGTCACATTTCAGGAACTTATCTCCAATGCTACACAAGTTGTCTTACGCGACGTGAGTTTCAGTTTATCCGGCAACTTTTCTTGCGAAGTCACCGCTGATGCACCGCTCTTCTCCACCTCCACGGCCTATGCGCAAGTGCAAGTTGTTGGTAAGTTTGCCGCTTTCACATTGCTTCTTGTTATCGTTCTTCTTAAAATTTTGTTACCGCTGCTGTGGCCACATTTTAACACTGCCAAAACTGCCAAAACTTTAGCGTTTTTCAAAAACTTTTTGGCTAATTATGTGCACTCATAATTGAAAAATTCAATTTACTTTTATGTGCTGAAGGAAAATTAAGTGCAATAATCAGCCGAAATTTAAAAACACTTACCAAAAATTAGAGAAAGTTTATTGCATTCGCAAGAAATATTAATTTTCGATTTTGAAAAAAAAAAACGAGTGGCGGATAAGTGAAGCAATACTTCCAATATTTCCAGCTTTTTTGCTTGCTATGACTACGAAGCAGCTTAAGAAATTTTAAAACGTCAAACGTTTTATGAATAAAGTATACGCTACAAGATATTTACACTGTCACATTAAAGACTTGCAAACACAAACGCACAGAGTGTACTGGGAAAAAAGCTGAAATTTCTAACGAGCTGTTACAGGCGTTTCATACTCGTAGAAGTGAAAAAGTGTTTCCTTACAGCCACAAAGGTATCACTGGAGAGAGATAGAATAAAAGGTGGCAAACAAAAAAAAACTGAAAATGTAAGGTAAGCAAAGTAGGTAGGAAATGCTGCAAAAAAATTGCTAAGACGGCGTCGCAGCGTCACCTGTATTGCAGCTATGCAGGTCATATAGCTACAAACATATTGTGTGCATGTAAAGCACATTAGGCTGTATCACTAAAAAAGGAGCTAAAATGGATATAAAATGCTTTAGGCGATTTATAAATCTTAAACGCAAATCTAAAGAAGAAGAAAAAAAATATGCATATTTAATGATGGTTTTGGATAATTTAAGAAATGTTTTTTTTACAAATATTAGTTTGAAGAATTTTCAACTCAATAATCACTAACCAAAGAAAAATTGTATTTACAGAAGTATATTGGAATAACAAAGCGCCGAAAACAAATTTACTACTGTAAGAAATTTGCATATGAAGTTTTTGAAATCAGTTGGATACATTTAATATTTTTTTTTTTTGTGATGCAACCTAATGTACATCCATCAAATCCACAGACAAACTGCAGCTTAAGCTCGGCATCAAAAAAGTGGTGGCGGCCAAATGCAAAGTGCTCTGAGCGATTAGGGGGCAACTAACTTACTGCATCGCTGCACAAAGTTTATTGCCTTGCAGGCTTTCTTTTCACACAGCCAGGTAAATAGACAAACACTGAAGTGGGCAATGATATGCAAAATGTATATATTTTTCTATGTAGTTATATATGGTAAATCTTTCGAGATGGGGATTTCTTTTTCTACAAATTATCACTTGTCAACCTATTTGAAGTACATTATAACCCGTGTCACCAATATTTTTTTATTGCTTTTACTCTATTTAACCCAGTCAAGTTGGATTTTCATGATTGCAGTAACTTGCATAAAGCTGAAAATTGGTACGAATGTCAAACAACGTCATTATAAATCAAATTTCAAAAGTCCTAATTGATCCCAGATTTAAATAAATCCCAGTCAAAATAAGTATCACAAGAACATTCACGATTTTTATAAAATACGCGAAATTCTCGCATTTGGTAACTGGCATATTTGTTTAATACCTATACTTTTATTCCTCATAACCTAAAAATGAACGTCTGAGCTTAGGTAAAATCGCTCGAGAAGATATATCGAGCCCTAACCGCCAAAATAACGTAAGCGACATTTTTTTCGAAATTTTATTTTTGATGCGGAAATGCATCTAGATGCTCTAGGAATATTTCTGCATCAAAAATAAAATTTGGAAAAAAATGTTGCTTACGTTATTTTGGCGGTTAGGGCTCGATATTTTAGTAAAATGTAGATTTTATGCGAGTTGCAACTGAAGGTATAAAATTCGCTTTTGCCAGTGCAGCTGCTTTGTGGTGGCAACGAAAACGTCCCCATTTCAAAAAATTTCCTTGTATGCAGGTAGACTTATGTACGTTCATATGTACATACATGCTATATACGTGTATAGACATGCAATAAATGTAAGGTTAAATGACTTTTATGATCGCAGTGTCAAAGTGTTTGTGTGGATAAAAGTTTTAAAAACATTGGCAATGATATAAAACAATTTAATATGTAAAATTAAATTTCAGAAAAGGAAATTTCTGTAACCCTTAAAACTTGCTATCTAAAATTGCGCGGGATCATTGAGGTGTAATATAGCGGTTTTGATTTTAAATTTTATTTTGTACCTAAGATCGGCATTATGACTCATTATTTCCATTTAAAGAGTATTTGGCATGTTCTTATCTATTTTTACCACGTTCTTTTTTTAAATTCCGCTTTTAAAAATACAAAGAGTGCCAGTTACTGTCGAAATTCGGCCGCTTTTCTACTTCATTTAAGAGCCCCGAAGATTTATTCGTCATAGCATCTCTTTCATGTTCATTTCAGTCGTTGTCGTCATCCGAATGTATCCGTATTCGTATTCGTCGTGATATTCTTCTCCGTACCCAGCTTCGACTTAGTCGTCGCATTCCTTTTCGGATTCATCTCCGTATTTGTCTTCGTCTTCGGAAACTATTCATATTCGTATTTGCCTTTATATCAGTCTTCGCATTCACTTTTGTATTTGTTTTAGTCGCTGTCTTCAGATCGTATTCGTATTCGCCCTCGTATTCTTCTTCCTATTCATCATCGTATTTATCTCCGTCGTCTTCGCATTAATTTTTGTATTCGTTCTCTTCATATTCGTCGTCATATTCGAATTCAGATTCTTATGCGTCTTCAGATGGTCAACGTATTCGTATTTAATCTCGCTCGCCTCGTATGCCTCTTCGTATTTCTCGTCATATTCACGCTGGTATTTGAATTTTTGTTCATATACGCCTTCGTGTTTGTATTTGTTGCCAACTCCCTGTTTGTCTTTTTTTTGTATTCGCATTCGCGAAAATAATACACCGTTAGCAAACGAAATGCAACTCATATTGAAGAGCTTACAACAACAACTAGACACAAATACGGAAAATTTTACATGGCGATTGAAGCCGTAATTTTGCTCCAATTTTGAAATCATTAATACCTTTCCAATAATGGGTTTGCGGACAAAATTTAAGTGAGCGTATTAATGTATAGATTTCTTATATGGCATCAAAAATTTACGCCAGTTGTTCATTCCTAAATTAGACAAGTCCTTCTGCACTTGGTCCGTCCATTTTGTTCGCCGATTTATTGATTATGAATGTTGTGCTCTACATAGCCGTCTTAGTTTAACATGGATCTCAAAGTTAGACTCGCTGTAAAAAGCTGTTTTAAAATCCATTGGCTTATCTATATTATATGGAGATGACCATCATTTGACCTGCTGCCAAAATCTGGTCGATGGTGGAGTTTCCAGTTCTAAAGGCGCACCGATAAGGGCCAATGAGTTGGTTGAAGATGGGCTTCGGCCCTTCATTCAGTATTTTCGCAAGCAATATTATGAAGGCTCATGCCATGATAACTTGCCCAAAAGGCGGTGGATTAGATACAAACTACATTGGGATTCTAATCTTTTGGCATGTATTCTTCGTTCCATATTCTGCCTTCCAGCTGGTAATGCCAAACTAGATCTTTGCCAACGCCATAAACTACTCAGCTGCTATACCGTCGGCTCATCTTGATCGAGTGCAACAACGCCAGCATTGGTCTGGATTTTGATTAGTTAAACGCGGTACCAATGTTGCTATTCACAAGCTTTGAGTAGTGTTCCCTGAATATCACAGGTGTACTCTGGATGCCTGTTACCAGATTTCCATCTTCGTCTCTACAGGAACTAGCTCCGGTCTTGAAATCAGTTGACTGCTGCCTTAGTTTTTGAATTTTCGAGCCAAGCTGTTCATAGATTTGTGTATTTTTGTCTCTCATTTCTTTCTTTTGAAAATTTATCCATCGTCTCTCCTTTCCTGCTAATATCAGTCAACTGTTGCTCAAGTATCTATGAAGTAAGACGACACTCTTCGTTGTAGCAGTTGCTCCTGCATGGGCGGTACTAACCAACCGCAGTGTGAAGAAGAGGTTTCGAAATAAAATCCCACTGCTCACTTCTATCCTCTACCATGTTCCGCGCCGCAGCAAACTCGATAAACCGTTATCGGAGTTATTTGCAACGAAATATTTCTTCTTTATCAATGGGGCGGGGCGGCGGTGCTGACATGGTTCCTTCACGCGTTCGTAGAACTTTTATGCTACGTTTAAATTGATAAATATCACGCACTATTTTACAATTAAGGCGAGCAGAAATAAAATTTTAAATAAAAGCCAAAAAATTTATAATAATTAGAGCATTATAGCTATAAAAGTGTATTAACATACATGGATATACATTTGCATTTCATTCGGGTGCCACGAAAAACTGCCACCACCACAAGCACCAACATTAGGGCCAGCCACCGCTTCAACGAGCAATGATCCACACAAACGCTGGCAATATTTGTTAAAATAAGAAAATACAGCAAGTATGTAGGTAGGTACATATTTAGACAGACAGAAGTACTCGTTCATAGACGACATAACCGTTATAAAGCGGCAGTTGACATGTTCAAGTGGCAAGCAGCAATCGTTGCCACCAACACGCTGACATTGTCTCAATGGGTGAGCGGGTGTATTTAAGTTTGAGTATGTTTAAGTGAATGTAGGATGTCATCGTCGCCATCGTCATCGTTATCATCGTTAGCGGCGTACGTTGACGTACTTCAACACTCCGCAATTGTCAGCTAAGCAAAAACAAAACCAAATACAAATACAAACCAACTGAGGGGGATAAAAAGGACCAAAACAAAACAAGCGCTAGTACTTTTGATCTTGTTTAGTTGTTATCAGCGTTTGTTTTGTTAGATATTGTTCCATTCGTATTCCCATTCGCATTCAAATTCATTTGCATGCTTTTTGGTTTTTTTTTTTTTGTTTTATTTTTTTTTACGCTCTGCCACTAAATACAAGCATGTTTTGTATTCATTGCAAATGCGTGTGAACAAA